AGAGCCACCAAAAGCTGCCACCTGTACCTCTGAGGACAGTTATCATCAAAAGACACGAGATAACATGCCTTGGCAAGGACGTGGACAAAAGGGAACCCATGTGCACTGCTGGTGAGAATGTAAATTGGCGCAGCCACTATGAAAAACAGGGAGGTTCCTAAAAAGATTATAAATAGGACTATCTACACTAATAAAAGAGAAAGATGCAAATTGACTGTACCTTCACAACGCCCACCAGCCAATCAGGAGTGAGTATGCAAATTAACCCAATAAAGATGGCAGGTTAATTTGCATGCACAGGCACTGAGTGGCCAGGGGCGGGGTGGGACACAGGCATTCCACACCACCCCAGCCTCTCCAGGCTCTGGGCAGTGTGGGAAGGTGGAAAGGCGGTTCTGGCTGGAGCAAAGGCGGTGCCAGCAGCCAGGGGAAGGAAGACCCATTCTTGCAAGAATCTTCATACATAGGGCCTCTAGTTATAAATAATCCAGCAATCCCACTTCTAGTTTATACATCTTTTTTTAAAACATATTTTTATTGATTTCAGAGAGGGAAGGAGAGGGAAAGAGATAGAAACATCAATGATGAGAGAGAATCATTGATCGGCTGCCTCCTGCATGCCCCCCACTGGGGATTGAGCCCGCAACCCGGGCATGTGCCCTTCACTGGAATTGAACTGGGACCCTCCAGTCTGCCGGCTGACACTCTATCCACTGAAGCAAACCAGCTAGGGCTAGTTTATACATCTTTGGGAAATGAAGTCACTCCCTCTAAGAGATATCTGCATTCCCATGTTTATTATTCACAGTAGTCAAGATATGGAGACAACCTAACTGCCCATCAACAGATAAATGGGTAAAGATTATAATATATAATATATACATATATATATAATTTACATATACATGTATACATATATAGCAGCGTATTATTCAGCCATGAGAAAGACAGACATCCTGCCATTTGCAACAACAAGGATGGACCTAGAAGGTGTTAGGCTAAGTGAAATAAGTCAGAGAAAGACAAATACTGTATGAAACCACTTATATTCAGAATTTAAAATGCCAAATTTGTAGAAACAGAGATCAGAATGTGGTTACCAGGGGCTAGGGCAGTGATGGCGAACCTTTTGAGCTTGGCATGTCAGCATTTTGAAAAACCCTAACTTAACTCTGGTGCCGTGTTACATATAGAAATTTTTTGATATTTGCAACCATAGTAAAACAAAGATTTATATTTTTGATATTTATTTTATATACTTAAATGCCATTTAATAAAGAAAAATCAACCAGAAAAATGAGTTCATGTGTCATCTCTGACACGAGTGTCATAGGTTCGCCATCACTGGGCTAGGGAGTCAGGGGAGAGGGGAGATGTTAGTCACAGGGTATAAACTTCCAGTTATAAAATGAATGAGTTTTAGGGGTCTAATGTACACCATAGTGATTATAGTTAGCTAGAGGCCCGGTGCACGAAACTCATACATGGGGGGGGTCCCTCAGTCTGGCCTGCACCCTCTCCAATCTGGGACCCCTCAGGGGATGTCCGGCTGCTGGTTTAGGCCCGATCCCTGCGCAACCCAGGACCGCTGGCTCCTAACCACCCGCCTGCCTGCCTGCCTGATTGCCCCCTAACCGCTCCCCTGCTGGCCTGATTGATGCCTAACTGCCCTCCCCTGCCACAACCCACCTCCTCCGCCAGGCCCCGCTTGCACTGTGTGCATGACCATCTTGTGATGGCCCTCTTGTGTCGATGTTAGGGAGTGATGCAGGAGAGCATGACGACCACCTAGGCTATTATTAGTACAGATAATATTTTACAGTTGACCCTTGGCCAATATGGGTTTGAACATGGACTTGAAATTATAGATGAATTTTTTCAATAAATACTTTAAATGTCTTTTTCTCTTCCTTATGATGTTCTTAATAACCTTTTCTTTTCTCTAGCTTACTTATTTAAGAATAATGCATGCCCGGCTAGTGTGGCTCAGCAGTTGAACGTCAATCCAGGAACCAAGAGGTCTCTGGTTCGATTCCCTGTCAGGGCATGTGCCCGGGTTGTGGCTCGATCCCTAGTGTGGGGTGTGCAGGGGGCAGCCGGTTGATGATGTTCCTGTCTCATTGATGTTTCTATCTCTCTATCCCGCTCCCTTCCTCTCTTTCTAAAAATCAATAAAAAATATTTAAAAATAACACATATAATCCATATAACATACAAAATATGTGTTAATCGATTATTTGTTATCAGTAAGGCTTCTGGTCACCAGTAGGCTATTAGTAGTTAAGTTCTGGAGGAATCGAAATTTATACACAGATTTTTTTTTACTCCACAGAGGGGGGGGATTCAGTGTCCCTAACCCCCACATTGTTTGAGCCAACTGTATTATATACGTAAAGGCGGAGAGCTGCAGACCAGGAGAAAACATCTGCAGACCACACACCCGACAAAGGCCTGGCATGGAGACTATATAAAGCGCTCTCAACTCAACAGTGAAACCAAACAATCCAATTAGGAAATGGGTAAAATACATGAACAAACATGTCACTGAGGAATACATACAGATGACAAATAAGCACATGAACATGTGTTCAATGTCATGAGTCATTAAGCCTCCATGATTAAGGAAATGCACGTTAACACCACAGGAAGAGACTGTTACACGTCTATCGGAAAGGCTAAAAGCAAATGATTGTGGCAACATAACATGTCGCAAGGGCAAGGCCATGAAGTTGAATCACTCATACATTGTTGGGGGGAATGTAAAACATACATAAGTTACTACGTATATGAATGTTCAAAGCAGCTTTACTCATAATAGCCCCAAACTGGGAACCCAAATGTCCTTTGACAGATGAAATGGTTAAATCACTGGTCCATCCACTCCACGGAGTACCAGTCAGTCACAGAAGGAGCAAGCTACCAACCACTCCCAGCGGCGGAAACAGGTCAGTGGCTGCCGGGGGGGGGGGGGGGGGGGCCAGCCCTGGGGGGGCTGTGGCTGAATAGAGGGAGAGTCTGGTGGTGACAGACAGCTCTGCATCTTGATTGTGACAGTGGTTACACAGATCTGCACATGAGCTTGCACACATCTGTGTGTGTGTGTGCATGTGTGTGTACATGTCGGTCCAGGAACCAAGAGGATGCATGCACACGCACGCGCACGTGCGCACACACGCACATACACACGAGCACATCGCACCATCACCTTCCCTGCTGTGATGTCATTGTGGACAGCTGTGCGGGACGGCACCAATGGGGAATGGGGAAGGCCACCATGCAAGCTCTCTGGGTTTTTATGTTTGTTTTTTATTTTATTTTTAAAATATATTTTTATTGATTTCAGAGAAGAGGGGAGAGGGAGAGAGAGACAGAAACATCAGTGATGAGAGAGAACCATGGATCGGCTGGGGATCAAGCCAGCATGTGTCCCAGGGGTGGGCAAACTTTCTGACTCGAGGGCCACAATGGGTTCTTAAACTGGACCGGAGGGCCGGAACAAAAGCATGGATGGAGTGTTTGTGTGAACTAATATAAATTCAAAGTAAACACCATTACATAAAAGGGCACGGTCTTTTTTTTTTTAGTTTTATTCATTTCAAACGGGCCGGATCCAGCCCGCGGGCCGTAGTTTGCCCACGGCTGAATTGTGTCCTGACCCGGAATCAAACCGTGACCTCCTGGTTCAACCACTGAGCCTCGCTGTTTGTTTTTTAAACAGCTTCCTGTGAATGTCACTATGGGCAGGTAACTGCAGAAGTTGGAGGTTAGTGGCCTTTCTGCCCTGACAGCTAGGACTCCCTGTGAGCCCAGGGCCTTTGTGCTGGGCTATGAACAAAGGAGGGACTGGGGCCCAGAGAGAGTCATGTTCTGGGTCCCCAGTGGCAGAGGCTTGGCCCAGGCGTCAGAACCCCCAGGGCAGCATTCCACGGGCTCCTGGGGAGGAGGGTGCAGGTGTGTGCTCACGTACCTGGGAGGAGCAGGGGCACCTGTGGACTGTGCTCAGGGAGGCAGGGACCTGGTCCTGGGGCTACTGTGTTCAGACAACGTGATCCCCACTCCCCCACCCCCACCCCGACCCCCACCCCTGGCCCACCGCCCCAGGCCAGGGAGGAGTGACGGGGACCACGGGGAGAAAGCAGTCATGCTCAGGGCAGTGGGCTGAGGGGAGGCCTGACAGGCGAGGAGGGTGGTGAGGGTCTCAGGGAGCAGGTTCCAGCCCTCAGCCACCCAGAGCAGTGTCCTCCGGGTCCCAACCACAGCCAGAGCACCAGCCAGGGCAAGAGGCGGGGGTTGGGGGACAGGAGGGAAGGCTGGGCCAGGTGCCTGGCTGACTGGCCTGGCACAAAAATGGGGTGTGGGCTGTTTGGCCAGGTTTAATGGGCTTTGTTGTCCTTGCCCTGGCAGCCTGCTTTCAGATGTGGTCCCCACACCTCCCATAACCAGGGTCCCAAGCCCCAGGGACGCGGTGCATTGCTGGGCTGACCCCAGCCCACAGCAGCCCTTCCCAGCTCCCCGCCTTCGGTAGGGCCTGCTCCTCACGCAGGACCAGTCCTGGGGCAGGGCCCCCTCCCCGCAGGGAGCAGGGCTCCTCAGCTGCTTGTCCACACCAAGCTCTGGGAAGGCTCCTAAGGTTGGTGCCTTGGGCTTCCCAGCCTAGTACCCCACCTCTACTTCCACAGCTGGACAGCTGGCCCGCCATGCACTTCCCCTCCCACCTGGGCAGCAGCAGAGGTGGGGCTGGACCAGGGGTACCCACAGGCCTGCGGGCGGGCTGCCCAGGCTGTCCACTTGCTGTGTGACCGCAGGAAGAACACTGTCCCTCTCTGGGCCGCGTACAATGTTCCAGGAACTCTTGGACTTGCTCCCTGAGCTTCTCCCAATTGGGGAGCCCACGCCTGGGCAGCGGAGGGGGCGGGTCTGTGCTGTCGGCGGTGTGAACGAGTTCCGGCCCCGCCCCCGGGCCGCACGTGACCTCAGGTGGTGGCGGGGTGGGCGGGGTGGCACTTAGTCACCCGCCTGCCGCCGCCGGTGCGCACCGCTCCGCTCCGCCCTCCCGGCTTCCTCGCCGGCTGCGCGACGCGCCCGAGGTCTCCCGGTAAGCGCGGTCCGGCCCGCACCCCGGGTCCCGGCCCCTTCCTCCCGAGCGGACGCCCAGCCTGCCGGCCGCGCCGCCCCCGGCCTCCTCCGGGCAGGCCCCTCGGGTTGCCCGTGGGGCGCGCGGGGTTCCGAGACCCCTGCCTTCCCGGAAGCCCTGCGAGCGCGGCGGCTCCGACCTGAGCCAGCGCCGTCGGGTTTCAGGCTCCTGCCCCCGCCCGGGAGACTTTGGGGAAGTTCCCCCGAAGTAGCCGAGGACTTCAGGCGGCGCCAGAAACCGGGAACGGGAGCCCCGTCCCGGCAGATTCGGGACCGGCCCTGCGCGCCCCGCCCTCAGCCCTCCCTGCCCCCCTGCCGCCCGCCCCGCTGACGGGCGCTCCCCGCTCCCTCCGCAGGCGCCTATGGGCAGAGGAGCAGACCGCCCCGAGGCCCCGCGCTGTCCCCGCCGTCCCGACTTCGGGTCCCGCCGAGCCGAGCGCCCCGCCTCCCGCGCAGCAGCCTGCGCCGGGCACCATGGCCTTCTCCCAGGTGCAATGTCTGGACAACAGCCACGTCAACTGGCGCTCCAGCGAGTCCAAGCCCGAGTTCTTCTACAGCGAGGAGCAGCGCCTGGCGCTGGAGGCGCTGGTGGCCCGCGGCCCCGAGGCCTTCTACGAGGTGCTGAGCCGGGAGAACATCCGCGACTTCCTCTCGGAGCTGGAGCTGCGGCGCATCCTGGAGACCATCGAGGTGTACGACCCGGGCTCGCAGGACCCGCGGGACTCGGGCTGCCTCCCGGGGTCTGAGGACCATGGAGCGCGGGACCGGGAGGAGGCCAGTGGGGCCGGGGGAGCCCTCACGGAGGCGGAGCCCCCGCCCTCCCTGGAGTACTGGCCCCAGAAGTCAGACCGCTCCATCCCCCAGCTGGACCTGGGCTGGCCGGACACCATCGCCTACCGCGGCGTGACCCGGGCGAGCGTCTACATGCAGCCGCCCCTCGACGGGCAGGCCCACATCAAAGAGGTGGTGCGAAAGATGATCAGCCAGGCCCAGAAGGTGAGCCGCCCCTGGGGGAGACAGCACCTCCCACCGGTGAACACTCTCCGCGTGGAGAGGCCATGGTCCCGCGGGTCCCCTGGCTGCCTGCTTCCATGGGGTTTCTGGTTCTTGGCAGAGGGACCGGGCGCCTGTGTGTCCTGGCAGGTGGCAGCAGTGGGCTGCTGCACAGCATGGGCCGCTGTGCGTTGTTGGGGGGGGGGGGGGTAGTTCTGACTTCCAGAGGCCTGGTGAGCGGGTCTCCCAGAAGAAGGTGCTGCCGTGGGGAGGGGGAGGAAGTATGTGCTTTCTCCCCTGTCCCTGGGGATGGCTCTGACTCAGCCCTGAGAGGTGCAGCTCTCACACGCACCCTGAGTCTGTGATGCTGCTTTTGTCGGGTGGGGGAGTGAATCGTCATGGCGACCAAGAAGTTGCCTGAGCCCATCTGAGGCTGGCCTGGATGGAGGTCTGAGTTCAAGCGTGCCTGTTTCCTGGGTGTGTGGGCCACAGGGCCGCTCGCTCCACCGATCTCGCTTTTCCATGAGCCTTGCAGTGGCGGGACCCGGCAGCCGAGGGTGTGAGAGGCGGGGACGGCCTGGTCTTCGGGTGGGAGCAGTGAGTGCAGCTGAGGGTTGTCCACCGGGTTGAATTTCTCCCCTGGGAGGGACCTCATCGTGGGCCTCCCCTTGCAGACCCCTGCCAAGCTGCGCAGTGGGTGGCCATACTCAGTTGACACCCTGACGCATATTCTGAGAAGAGGAGCTTACCACTTGCAGAGACAGCCAGGCCGTTGCTGGACAGCATGACCTTGAGCGGATGCTTCTCCCTGCCGAGTGGAAGTGCCTTTTGCACGGTTCCAAAGCACATCCTGGCCTGATTGGCACAGCCTGCCTGCCAGCTGTGTGAGGAGGAGTCTGAGGCCAGGCCCTGGCTCGGCAGAGAGCAGTGAGTGACTGGGTTGTAGGCAGGTATTTCTAGTGGAATCTCACCCCTTCGCGGTTCCAGGCCCAGAGGGGGCAGCAAATGGCACAAGACCTGAACCTTGGCTGTGGGGGCCATTCCGGCTGCCAGACAGGCCTGGGGAGCTCTTCCGCAAAGAAAGCAGAGTGGGTCAGGAGTTGAGGAGTAGCCGTGGCTTCGGCTTCCAGAGTGGAGCGTCTGTCTCCGGGGGGGGCTGGCTGGGGCCGATGGCCTGTGCCAGGGGCCGGCTCTCAGCCTGTCCAGGCAGTGCCGGGGCTTCGGGTCTCTGGGCTGTGAATGGAGGTGGCGAGGATAAAAGCCGCGTCTCTGGCTGTTGTGAGGATAGAATTGGGTGATGGGCATGAGGAAGAGGAGGAGAAGGGGGAGGAGGAAGGGGCCTTCATAGTTTTCAGCCCAAATAACCTGCCCCACACCTGCTGTGGGATAAGAAGGTGCTGCTGACGTGGGTGCCTGACTTGAGGTCATGAAACCCAGTTTCCTGGAGGGCCTGTTGGGACCCATTACCTAGCCTCCACCCCCTTTATACAATTGGGGAAACTGAGGCCAGGAAAACAGCCTGCTCTGTCAGGGTTCTCCCTCCTCTTATCCCCTCCTCCCCCCCGGGAGTGGGAAGGAGCCAGACACCGGATCCAGCTTTGCCTGGGAACAGCCAGCATCTAATCTCCCCCAGACAGAAAGACAGGCGGCCTGGCTCAGCGATGGGGCCAGATAGGGGCGCCTGGGGCGAGGCTGGGCACTCAGGGTGGCCTCCCCATGTCTCGATGGCTAGGGCTGAGACCCAGCCGCTCCATTTAGTCCCGTGGGTCCTCCCATTTCTTCATTTGCTCCCCGCAAAAGCCCCACGAGGTGACGGGTGTCACCTGTCTCAGATGACATAACCAGGAAAAAGTCCATCTCTAGTTGAAACCCTGCTCTGTTGGCACCACAGTCATGCTCTCCTGCAGCCCCTGACAGGTAGGCATTGTCCTGCTTCATCCCCCTAAGAATGGGGCTCACTGCTGAGCCTGACGCCCTCTCAGGCAGCAGGGAGCCTCACGAGCCAACAAGAGGGATCTCAGAGGCAATAGAGGCCAAGCTGCTGTCCAGCCCGTCTGCTTCCCTGTCACGTCCGTCGTGGCCCCCGAGGCCAGTGATGTGTGCGCAAGCCATCTGTAAAAACAACAGCTGCTGTTTATCGAGCGTGAGGCACTTGACGATCTCAGGTAGTGGCGCTGCCCCATTTCTCAGATGTAGAAACTGAGGCCTGGCTGGCTAGTCCCTCCAAGGCCACCTAGCTAGTTCTTGGGTGGAGGGTGGGGACCAGGCCCGTGTTGTCCTCAGACTCGAGGACCGGTCGGTCCCCGGCCATCCTGCCTGGCCCTGGCAGGGCAGGGCGGAGCGCTCACGAGCGCCTCCCATTTCCCCTGCCCCTGCTCTGGCTGCTTCCCAGCTCCCAGGGGCTGGGCCGTGGCACTGACGGATGCTGACAAATGCTGACCAAGCCCTTACCTGGCCGCCCACCTGGGAGCTCTTCCTGCCGTCTCGTCACTTCTTTCCCCCTCTCCCCGAATTCTCTCACCCCTGGTACCAGTGAGGGAGAACTCCCCCGCTTCCCAGACCAAGAATGGGGATCCCACTGTCCAGCCGCATGGCTGGAACACTGGGCCCCTTCCCACTGGGCACTGGGCTGGGGCTGCTGGCACTGAGTCAGGGAAACCCAGCCCGCCACCTCCTCCACCTGGGCTGTCAGCATGACAGGCAGACCGTGGGCAGCCTGGGAGCCTGTTCCCGCCAGGCTACCCCCTTCAGCGCTGACACCTGCTGCCCTGTGATTCTACACTCCTCTGGGGAGCCCGGGGCCAGGCTGGGCGGGGATGGGTGGTCCTGGGCCTCAGAGGACCACTGGCTGCGGCTGTGGCTGTGAGCGCTTGCTCTCTGGGCATCTTCCGGCCCCCCTGAGCTCCAGCTTTCCAAGGTGGGAGGTCATCTGCCCGCCCCCGCCCCCAGGGGCCAGTGATTTGTCTGGAGAAACTGCTCTGGGGTTCAGCTGCAGGCCAGGGGCCGGCTACAGCCTCAGAGAGAAGGGGAGAGGCTGGGTGGCAGGACGGTAGCATGCACCCCCCCCTCCACATGGGACCAGAGCCCCTAGTAGGGCCCCTTCACCAGCCTGGCAGCCGTGGGGAGGTCCCAGGGGCAGGGGGAGTCATACACCCTGAGGAAACTGAGGGAGAATGAGTGGCCAGGGCGAGCCTGCATGCGATTTCACACCAGCCAGACAGGGCGCGGGAGCAGAGACCCAGAGAAGTTCTGTTTCTTGCCAAGTGCCACCAGCAGGAAGGGCAGGAACCAGGTCGCGCGATGCCTGACCAAGCCACGTCTTTTCTCTCCAGGCCCATTACACACTGGAGTTCTGACTGATGGTTGCCTCCAGGAGAATGAAAGCACTTGAATGAGGCATTTATTAAACACCAGGTGTATGCCAGGTGCTGTCATCCTCCCAGCAACTCCATAAACGAGGGTGCAGATGAGGAAGCAGGCCTGGTAGGGCTGACCTCTCCATAGCTTGTCGGAGGTCACAGAGCTGACACTGAGGGGCTGGGCGCAGAACCCCGGTCGCAGGCTCGGACCCTTTCCCGGGAGCAGCAGCGTCTTGGCTGTCCCTGCTGAGCCAGCCCTGGGAGCAGTGCAGCCTTGCGGCTCCCCAGCGCACTCGGGACCGGAAAAGTATGGCCTTGGGCACCCTGTCCCCACAGGTCCCACACACGGCTCTCCAAGAGGGGCTGGCGAGGACAGGGTGACCGGGAGCCAAGGCGGGTCCCTGCGGACCAGAGGGAGAGCTCTCCCTGTCCCTGAGCCGGGCAGCGCCCCAGAGGCCCCAGGACCAGCAGCAATCCCCAGGGCACAGCAGGTCCAGGGAGCTGCCTCCTGGCAATTCCCAGCCCCGGGCCCACGGCCCTCCCCTGCAGGTGGGGAGCCAGCTGATAACACAGTCCCAGTGGCCTTTGCATCTTGAGAGTTTGGGGAGAGCCAGGAGGGCTCTGCCAGGAAGGAGGGCGGCCCCTCGGTGCACACCTGGCTCCTGCGGGCAGGCAGCCTCAGACCTGCAGGCCCTGCCCTCCCTCGACCCTGGGAGGTGGAGCCTGGCGTCATCGTCCTGTGGCAGATGAGGCTCGGAGGCTCGGAGCAGGCCGGGGCCTGCCGCCCTCGCACCAGCCGCCTTGGCGTGGCCAGCCTGCTCTGGGCTCCACAGAACCCCACTCGCCCTGGTCTGACAGGCTCACCCTGAACCCGAGGCTCCGCCCTGGGCCAGCAGAGAGGGGCTGGTCTTCTCAGAGGCCCCTGGCTCACCTGCCCAGCTCAGCCACGTCCTGGCTACATGACCCTGGGCCTCAGTTTCTTCAGCTCGTACAGTGGGAACTGGGCACTTGTCCTGAGGCAGTAACAGCCGTGAGTGCCCACAGGCTGCCGAGTGCAGGGCACAGCCAGCCTGGCCTGGGTGGGCTACGCCACCTCCTTTGTGGGGTCCCGGTGACCCCAGGCTCAGGCACCTTCCCAGGTTAAATGCCGCGTGGGCAGTGGAAAGGCTCGCTGCCCCGCAGGCCCGGCGTGAGCCCAGCGCTGCTGTTAACCGTGCCCGAGACAGCCCCTCTGCCTCCGACCCCCACTCCTGCCCCTTCGGTGCCATGGCGATGGCGGCGCCTGCCTCAGAGCTGTGGTGGGATCGAATGGAAAAGGGATGTAAAGCACTTGGTGTGGTATCTGGCATGGAGCTGGCATTCCTCCCGCATCCTCTTCCCGCCTTCCCTCTGCCTTTCTCCTCACCGCCCTCCTGACAGCCCCTCTCTGGGAGAAGCGGCTGAGAAGTGGCGAGCTCCCCATCCTGCAGGCGTTCAGGCAGGGGCTTGGGGGGCACAGCAGAGGGTGTGGCTCACCGGAGGCCTTGGCAAGTCTCTAATAGGCCAGTCTTCTGGGGGCTTAGGATGCTCGCTGGGACTCGGGGGAAGCTAAGGCTTTAAAGGCTTTTGAAATTATGACTCTGAGATTTCCCAGTTTGAAAACCC